CAGGCCGCGCCCTCGCCCCGCCTCTGCAGGCGCCGATTGGCCAGGCGGGGATCAGGGGGCGGGGCGTCACCCGCGCCCTAGTAGGACCTGGGAACCCGCCGGAGCCGCAGGGGCAGCGGAGCCATGGTCACCAGCGCGTGGGGCTCGGGAGTCCGTGCCGGCAGCTGTCGGGGCGCAGCGAGGACCCGGACGAGCTCCCGCGCCCTGCATCCACTGTTCCAGCCCCTCTCTTTCCTTTTTACGTTGTTCCTGGCAGTTCCTGGCACCCAGGCGGCGGGCTATGAGGTGAGCAGGGCCCGCGGGCGGAAACGTACCCGAGCCCGAGTGAAGCCCGGAGCAGAGTCCGGAGGTGTGACAGGGTCCGCTGTGTGGGTGCCTAGTGAGTGGCTGCTGGTGGACAGTGTGATCTGAGCGGCGCGTGCCTTGGGTCACTCGGAGGTCTGGCTGCGCGCGAGACGGGGGGCTGTGTTTGTACCTGGCCGAGTAGCTTGCCAGGACTTTGCATGCACTTTTAGCTGTGTGATTGGAGTCGTTGGGGTAAGCACCTGCGTGTGTGTGTGTGTGTGTGTGTGTGTGTGTGTGTGTGTGGTGGGTGGGGGCGCTGATTGAAAGCTGAGACTGGATTCGGCCTGTCTGGAGTTTCAGGTCGGCGCCTCTACTTCCCGTATGTGTGACTTTGGGCAGGTCTCTTCCCTCTGGGAAACTCAGTGCCTTATCTGAAAACCGGAACAGGGCCCTTCAAGGTGGCGAGGTGGTTCAGGTGGCTGGGTCCCACATAGCTGGCTGTGGCATTCTAGATTCAGACCAGCAGCTTGGAAAACACACACAAGGCGTGTGTGCATGCAAGCCAGCCCTAAATCCCGAGAGGAGACTGGGGGAGAAGGGGTGGCACGTGGGTGGTTTCTCGCTCTCTGTCTCTGTCTCGCTGTCTCTGCCAGACAAGCGCACAGTGGTCTATAACAAACTAAACAACAACAGCAACTAAACCTGGGGGTTGAAATTGCTCCAGGTCCCCAGGTGGCTGTCTGTCGTTTACAGATGCCTGACAAAACATCAGCTGCCACACTCTTAATTATCCCAGGGTGAAAGAGAGCTGCCCTGCGGGGTTGTGCCCCGTGGGAGTGCGAGTTGTATCTGATCACAGCTATGTGTTGATCCTGCCTGCTGGGATGATAATAATAATAATAAATAATCAGGGAGCCAGCAGGTGGCGTGGTGGTTAAAGGCGCTGGACTCCCACATGGCCGACCGTGGTTCAAATCCTGAATCTGGTGGCTTGCTTTCTCACTTTCCCTCTCTCTCTCTCTGTCTGTCTGATCAAACTGGAAAGTAACAATAATAATAAATAAAGTTAAAATAAAAGAATTCTTTAAAAACAAATAAATAAATAACCGGTTCCGATCCCAGCGTTCCTCTGGGTCCCACACCTCTGGATAAGATTTATCTTGCACCCCCTTCCCCACCCTGCCTCTCAACGCCCGGGTTACTGACAGGGTGTGTGTACGTGTGTTTGGGGTCCCTGTGCAGACCTGCCCCGCAGTGCAGCCAGACATGCTCAACGTGCACCTGGTGGCCCACACGCATGACGACGTGGGCTGGCTCAAGACAGTGGATCAGTACTTTTATGGCGGTGAGTAGAGGTTAAGGCACTGGCCTTTGGGACTCCCCGGGGCTCCTCTGGACCCCTCCAAACCCTCGGGGCTGTGGGCATTCGAGTGAGGGCAATGCCCAGTGTAGGTTACTGCGTGGAGGGAGTTCCGCCCGGATTCCCCTGACCCCTCACTGCTCTGCGTCCCTGTCCTCAGTGGAGAATGACATACAGCACGCGGGCGTGCAGTACATCCTCGATTCCGTCATCTCTGCCCTGCTGGCAGACCCCACCCGCCGCTTTATCTACGTGGAGATCGCCTTCTTCTCCCGTTGGTGGCACCAGCAGACCAACGCAACACAGGAAGCCGTCCGGGACCTGGTGCGCCAGGGTGAGTCTGCGCCAGGGTGAGTCCGCCCCAAGGAAGTGAAAGAGGAAGCCTAGCTCAGCTGCTGTTCGTGCAAGGTTAGCTTCGGAGATGTTATCATGCCATCTGCACTCGGTGCACGCGTGTGGCTCTCCCTGCCTGGAACAGCCCCTTGTCTGAGCACTCCTACGCATCCCACAGGGTCCCACCAGCAGTGACACCTCTAGGAAGCCTGTCATACAAGGGGCCCTCTGCCCCATATCTGGCTACACTGGCCTAGGAGCGACCCTCCTTCTTCCAGGTCTGCTATGTAGGCAGGTCAGCTCATCCCCAGCATCGCTCACCGTGGCCCCGCCCCTCCTGGCACAGGGCGCTTGGAGTTCGCCAACGGCGGCTGGGTGATGAACGATGAGGCATCCACCCACTATGGCGCCATTGTGGACCAGATGACACTTGGACTGCGCTTCCTGGAAGACACTTTCGGCGACGACGGCCGCCCCCGTGTGGCCTGGCACATCGACCCCTTCGGCCACTCTCGGGAACAGGCCTCCCTGTTCGCCCAGGTGCTACTCCTACCTGTCTCTGGACCTCACTTCTCTCTCTCTCTCCCTGACCACGCCCTCGGCCACTCAAGCTCCGCCCTCTGCCACGAATGCCCCAGCTCCAAGCTACTCCCACCTCTCCAGTCACGCCCCTTATAGACCAGGCCCCACCCCATGGCACGCCTCCTTTGATCTGTCCCCGCCTCCTGGGCACGCCCCTTGGTGCTCTGGCCCCACCCCGCTGGCAAGACAATGGCTCCTCCCCCAGCTGAGTGGCAGGTGGAGACGACTTTTTTAACTGTGCTCTGACTCCATCTGTTCTCTGGCTGCGGAAGTGGGATCTCGCTCTGAGTCAAGCCTCCTTCTGGCTTCCACCGAGGTGGAGGTGGAAGTGGGTTCCAGACCCGCCCCCTTCTGGCAGCTCCTTGGTGCATTCTGACCCCGCCCCAAGCTTAGAAATACTCCGGAGGCTTTCCTGGCTTCAGTCCCACTTGCAACCTGCACTCCGGCCACCCTACTGAAGCCAAGGGGAGCCTGGGAGGGCCTCAGTGCTCATCCTTCCCTGTCCCACCCCCAGATGGGCTTCGACGGCTTTTTCTTTGGGCGCCTCGATTATCAAGATAAGTGGGTGCGCAAGGAGAAGCGGGAGATGGAGCAACTGTGGCGGGGCAGCACCAGCCTGAAGCCCCCCACCGCGGACCTGTTCACAGGTGAGGGGGGTGGAGGAGGACACCCGTAGGTGTGACACTCAGAACGGGCCTGGGCTTGATTTAATGCTCTTGGTCACTGTCTCAGAAATCTTTTTGGTAAAGAATTGTTTTATTTAATTTTATTTATTTATTTTAATTTGACCACAGAAACACAGGGTGAGTGAGAGAAAGAGAGAGAGAGAGAGAGAAGGAAAGAGAGAGAAAGAGAGAAAGCAAGTCGCCAGGTCCAGGACTCGAACCACAGCCAGCCATGTGGGAATCCAGTGCTCTTAATCACCATGCCAAATGCCCGCCTATGACTCACAAATTGTGAAGCCCATGCAGGCTGGGACATGACACATTGGGACATTGACCCCAGGGCAGATCCCGGTTCCTAGGCACCCCCTGACTCTGACATGCCCACAGGTGTACTCCCCAATGGTTACAACCCCCCGGAGAGTCTGTGCTGGGACGTGCTATGTAACGACAAGCCGGTGGTGGAGGACCCCCGCAGCCCTGAGTACAACGCCAAGCACCTGGTCGATTACTTCCTGCAGGTGGCCACTGCCCAGGTAACCCCGGCATCAGGAACCTGCCACACTGGGCCCTTTCCACAGCCCAGGGAGCCCTTCACACCTCCTCCTACCCCTTAGAGGAAGGCCTGTCCCATCTGCCCTCTCCAGGCTCCCCACCCCCCAGATTTGGGTGCACCTGTCATTAGATGCATGGGTGGGACAATGCCTCAGTGTCCACGTGTCTGCATGGTGGCCCAGAGGACTCTCAGTGAAAACTATTTCCATTGTTTTTCCCAAAGGAACATTTTATTTTTTTTTGAGAGGTTTTTGCTATAGGGTGCATGCACTCGCCAGACAGACAGAGAGAGACAGAGAGACAGAAAGCAAGAAATCACCCCCCAGGGGGGATGGTCACGCCGCAATCCCTTCTCCTCCATTCTCCTCTCGGGATTTTGGGCACGCATGCACACGCGCCCGGCATGAGTTTTAAGCCACCGGGTCCGGGACACGAACCACGGTCGACTACGTGGGAGTCCAGCGACATAGCCATTACGCTAGCTGCTGGTTCCCTAGCCTGAACTTCTTGACCCCTTATAAATACTAACACATAGGTATAGATAGGGTGGCCCAGGACACCCTGGCTAAGGACTCCCCTCTGGCCTGCAGGCTCAGTTCTACAGAACCAACCACACGGTGATGACCATGGGCTCGGACTTCATGTACGAGAATGCCAACATGTGGTTCAAGAACCTCGACAAGCTCATCCGGCTGGTCAACGCCCAGGTCAGTGTCCCTCCCTGCGGTACCTAGCTGCACCTGCTGTTGCAACCTCTGCTTCTCCTGTGACAGATGGCCACAAGCTCAGCAGCTCTAAACGGCAAAACTGGGGCCAGCAGGTGGCATGGTGATTAAGGCACTGGACACCTCGTGGCTGACTACAGTTTGAACCGTGGCAGTTTCTCTGGCCACGGACTACTCCTTCATCAACTTCATTTTGTACATTCCGGAAATAGAATTCGTGGGTTCAAATCCTGGCTTTACCACTTTCAGGCTCTATGACTTTGAGATGTTCTTTTATTTATTTTTTAAAGAATTATTTATTTTATTTTATTTATTCATTCATTTATTTTAAT